GAAGGAATATATAAAGTAAAAAAAATTGGCTGACATGGAACTATTTCAGGAAGTAGCATTTGGTCAAGAATCAAGGGTAATGAAGAAAGAAGTCCAAGCTACACTGAATGTACTGGCAAAAATAAGACCCGAGAATAATGGGATACCAATAGATACCAACACATGCAAACTTAGATGTGCTCACTAGTCTGTGCCAAGGTATTTGGAAGACAGCTCTTTGGCCAGCTGACTAGAAGAGATCCATATGTGTTCTCATTTCAAAAATAGGTGCTTCAACAGAATGTGGAAATTATTTAACAATATCATTACTATCAAACACAAGTAAGATCTAGCTGAAGATTATTTTTAAATGAATAGAACAGTACATCAACAGAGAACTGCTGTAAATTCAAGCTGGATTTTTTAAGAAACCCTGCTATTAGGTATATTATTGCTGATGTCAAATGCACCTTTGGATGAAAGCAGATAACACCAGAAATATATCCATTTGTATTTGACAATGCAAAAGAATATGACTTTTATTAATGATAACAAATTATGGCTAACATTGAGAAGAATGGAATCCCAGAACACTTAACTGTGCTCACACAAACCCTCTACCATAGACCAACAGGCAGTTGTCAGACAGAGCAAGGAAACACTGCATTGTTTAAAATCAGGAAATGTGTGCATCAGGGTTGTAGCCTTCATCCATACCCATTCATTCTATATGCTAAGCAAATCATTTGAGATTTTAGATGATATGAAGAAGCATGTGGCATCAAGATTGGAGAAAGAATCATCAGTCACCTGCAGAAGATCTAAGACTATATAGCCTTTAGTATGGATCATTTCTCAACCTCAAGAAAACCTAAGTCCTCACTGCTAGACCAAAAGTCAACATCATGAATGAAGAAAAGATTGAAGTTGTCGATAATTTCAATGGTTTGTGACTTGTGTTTTGCGTATCTTTTTCCTCTCCTATGAACTCTATCCTGTGAACTCTAGTTGTCTTGGTCAGATATATTTCAGAGATTTGTCCACAATCAACATCCTTGGTACCAGGAGTGAAGAAGTCAAAAGACATGTTGCATTGAGAAAATCTGCTGTCAGGGACTTCTCTAAAGTACTAAAATGCAATGATGTCAGTTTGAAAGCTAAGATGCCTTATTCAGACCACAGACTTTTCAATTGCTTGGTATAGAACTGAAAATTGGGCAATGAATAAGGATGACAGAAGAAAAATATATGCCTCTGAGTTGTGGTGTTTGAGGAGAATACTGAATATCGCCTGGACCATCAAAATAACAAACATGTCAGAGAGAAAGTACAACCCGAGTACTCCTTAGAGACCAAGATGGTGAAATATCATCTCACATGCTTAGGGTATATTGCCAGGAGGAGCTAGTCCTTCAGAATAAGACATCATATTTGGAAAGGTGGAGGGTCACCAAAAGAGAGGAAGACCCTCAACACAATGGATTGACATAGTGATTGTACCATTGGGCTTACTTATATCAAAGATGATGAGGATGGCACAGGATAGGGTTAAGTTCGGATCCATTGTTAATAGGGTTGCTATGAGTCACAGCTGACTTGACACCTAACAACAACAACAACAACACCACGTCAAAATGGTTTTGCAGATATACTTAAATGAATATCTTGAGATATTTAGTCATATGAACACTTATAATAAAGAGATAAAACAAGAGTTTGTGAAGTAAAAGAAGTGACAGCAAAAGCATGGGATTAGAGTGATTCAGAGAAGAGTTGAAGGGATGCAGTTTCCTTCCAGAAGCAAGAAAATTTGTTTTCTTTTAAACTCCTTTGAATGAGTATATCTCTACCAATATCTTTATGTTAGAGCCCTGAACTACAAAGCTGTAACAATTAATTCATATTTTTTCAGGTGATTAAATTTGTGCATATTTGTTGCAGCAGCAAGAGGAAACTAATATAGCACCCTCTGAAGTTGTTGGGGGTTTGTATTTTGCTTATCTCTCTCCTCTCCATTATCCTATCTTGTAAGCCCTGGTTCCATTCGTCAGGAATGTCTCAGAGAAGATACAGCCAGAGTGTTCCTTAGAGGCAAGGATGGCAAAGGTTTAACTCACATTTGGGCATGTTGCTAAGAAAAGCTATTACTTGGAAAAAAACAGCATGCTGGGAAAAATGGAAGGTTATGAAAGAGAGACTCTCAATGAAATAGACTGATACAGTGACTGCAGCAGTTGTCTCGGGTATGTCAGGGAAGATGAGGACGGCACAGGCCAGGACAGGGTTCGGGACAGGTTGTTCACAGGGTTACTATAATAATGACATGTCCAAAGTACATGAGCCATAGTACAACCATCCTTATTTCTGAGAAGTGTACTGACAGTACTTCTTCAAAGGATAGATTCCTCCTCTCCCCCATTTTTCTGGTCATAAAAACTCACTGCCATCACGTTGGAGCCAACTCATAGTTGACTCTCCAGAAAAAATTATGGCTAACATTGAAAATACTGAAAATCCTAGAACACTTTATTGCGTTTGTGCAAAACCTCTACATAGACCAAGAAGGAGTTGTCTGAACAAACCAAGGGAGCACTGCATGCTTTAAAATTAGTAAATGTGTGTGTCCAGGTGTATCATTTGTCTGTTTCTGTTTAATCTCTATGGTGAGAAAATCATTTGTGAAGTTGGATTATAAGAAGAATAATGTTGTTTTATTATTATTATTATTATTTATTGTTTTATTATAATTAGGTGTCATTGAGTTCATTACAGCTCGTAATGATCCTATGAACAACTGATCAGAACCTTCAAGGTTTATCAACAACCTGCATTGTGCACTTGCTGAAGAAGATCAAAGAATACATCCTTCCTATGGAATACGTCTCAGCATCAAGAAAACAAAAATCTTCACCATTGGACTGACAAGCAACATCATAATAGATGGAGAAAAATTCAAATTTGTTAATGATTTCATCTTACTAGGATCACAATCAACACTCATAGTAATAGCAATTAAGAACTTAAAAGATGTATTGCATTGGGAAAACCTGCTTTCAAGGACTTCTCCAAAATTCTAAAGAGCAAGAATGTCAGTAAAAACTAAAGCACACTGGTCCCAAACCATGGTTTTTTCCAATTGTTTAGTAGATTTGAAAATTGTACAGAGAATAAGGAAGTTGTACAAAGAAAAATCAATGCTGTTTGGTTGTGGTGTTGGCAAATAGTATCACATATTGTGCAGATGACACAACCCTGCTTGCTGAAACTGAGGAGGACCTCATGCACTTGCTGTGAAGGGTCAAGGACTGCAGCCTTCAGTATGGACTGAGGCTCAATGTCAAGAAGACAAAGATTCTCACCACTGGACCAATTGGCAGTGTCAGGATGGATGACGAAGAGATTGAGATTATTCACAGCTTCAGTTTGCTCGGCTCCACAGTCAACACGCTTGGCACCAGCAGTCAGGAAATCAAAAAGCATATCACGATGGGAGAGTCTGCTGTTAGGGACCTCTCTAAAGTACTCAGGAGCAACAGTGTCTCTCTGGAGACTAAGGTGCGCCTGATACAGGCCATGGTATTTGCAATCGCTTGTTATGCATCAGAGAGTTGGACAATGACTAGGGAGGACAGAAGGAGAGTGGATGCTTTTGAGCTGTGGTGCTGGAGAAGGGTACTGAATGTACCCTGGACTGCCAGGAAAACAAACAGATTCATCTTGGAGAGGATTAAACCAAGCTACTCCTTGGAGGCAAGGATTCTGGGGCTTCGTCTGACATACTTTGGACATGTTGCCAGGAGGGACAGGTCCTTGGAGAGGGACATCATGCTTGGGAGGGTGGAGGGACAATGCAGGAGGGGAAGACCCTCTATGAGATGGATTGATTCGGTGACTGGGGTAATCGGGATGGGTGTGTCAGAGGCGGTGGTGCAGGATAGAGCAGGGTTTAGGGCTGTTGTGCATAGGGTCGCTATGAGTCGGAAACGACTCGACGGCACATAACAACAACAACAACAATGGAATGGCAAAAGAGCAAACAAAAAAAAGTGAAAAATATTTTACTTGCTTAATACACTGAAGATGTTGCTCTGTAATTTCCACATTCTGTCCTGGAGGAAGCCAGTGTGCTCATTAGGGACAAGGATGGTGAAACTTTGTCTCACACTTTTGGCATACTATCAGGAAGCACCAGTCCTTGGAAAAGACAAGTAGGAAGGGTCAGTGAAAGCAATGACAACACTCAGAAGATGAATTGACCACTGAGACTTGAACATGGCTAATGGTAGTGCAGGATAGGGCAAGGCTCTGATCAGTTGCTCAGAGGATCACTAGGAGTTGCAATAAACTCGATAGCACCTAACAACAACAATAACAATGGAAACAAACTTCCAGGTTTGTCTTTCTCTGACAATGAACCTTTTGGATAAGAATTAAATTGAAACCATTTGCACTACCTGTGGACTGATTGATAAATAGTCTGGGGAATTATTTACCTATAGATATGTCTTAGTTGTGATGTATTTGGCTAAAGTGATAATGATTAAAAAAAAAAACCAAAACACTAAACAACTCATTGCTGTCAAGTTTAACCAGCTCATAGTTGATCCTCCATGAAAGGGCCAACTGCTCAGGCTTTTTCCACAGCCAGTTAGCCTGATGATCCCTACCTTTCAAGACTACCTTTCTCAAGAAATGTGCAGGTTCTAATAATCATTGGTGATGCATGTGAGTCCCAAAGCGCTGCCCTTGGTTTCTGTCACTGTGACTTATCTAAGGGTACCTCTATTCTTCTCTTTGACAATGTTAGGCCTTTTTTGGTGGCAATGTGAGTTTCCAAAATAAGCCAACTGATATCTCAACTCAGAGACTAAGAGAGTAGGGAGTTTGGAGAAACTCTTCAGAGCATTGCTACAGCCAAGATGATGCTAAAGATACTTGAACCTTGAACATGTATGTCCTTTAATCTTATGTCACCTTACAGGGTCAGGTAATTTATTTTCTGCTCTTGTTTCAATTTTTAGGGCAAGATTATACAACATGGGCATGAGTAGCTTGAAACTGCTGAAGTATGTCCTATTTTTCTTCAACTTGTTCTTTTGGGTAAGTTTCTTCTGAGCATGGCTGAGCTCACCATTCATTACCTAGATAAGTTGTACTTCTCTCTATTAAATAGCCTGGTATAAAGTATAACTCATGCCTGAGTCATGTGCAACACACCCCGCTTAGGAGCAAAGAAATAGTTTCTTCCCCTTAATTCTGAAATGTTTAAATTACCAATGCAATTATTAATTAGATGCCATTACTCTTCTAGGGCTTTTGGCTACTATTGCTCACTAGTATAGTGAGAAATCCAAGACTCCATATTTTATGTGTCTAGATCCTGCTTTTTTGCTTGTTTGTTTGTTTTTGCTTAATTGTTTGGTTTGGTATTTTAGAGTTTGGGGATTTGGTGGCTGGTTGGTTGGTTTTAGACTCCTTGGAGAAAAATGCCTCATTGAAATGGAAGTCTCTCTTCCTACAGTGGTTTCCCTTTTTAATTTATTTTTTTTAAGTTATTTAATAGTGTCAAGTTTAGTAAGGGAACTTGGGCATAAAATGGATTGGTACTCACTTGTCTATGAGAAACTTCTTAGAAGTATGGGTTCTCTGGTTGACTGCCTACCAAGATGAGCTTCTTCAAGCTGTGTCCTCTATGCAGCCATGGTTTCTAAAGGGAAGGTCATATAAGCAGTTGATGGAACAAGGAGAAAGAGATCTGAAACTTAAATGCTAAACTGACTATATGGTGGAGATATATGACTCTGAACAGTGAGTTTTCCACTGCTATTTAAAAATTACTGTTGTTGATTGTCATCGAGTCAAGCACAACGCGAAACCTTATGAACAAAAGACCTGAAGCCTTTCTGTAACTATTGTCATTTCTCAAAATTCATAGAGTTTCCAGAAGTGATTTAAAAATTAGTGGGATAATTTGACAAGCACTGTGGCAATTGGACAATTAAAACAGACATTCGGGGAGGGGGGGAAGAAGAACGAACTGGGGAAGAGGGTAGAGAAAACAGTGCAACAATGAATGAATGAGAACCAAAAATCTCTGTATATGTTCATTAAAACTAATAAAATTTAATAATAATTTTAAAAAATGGATAAAATATGAGTAGGACTCCACAGAAGGACACTAGGATTGTCTCTCTTTTAGACAATAATTTTTAGTTCTCTTTTAAGAACACCTAGGGAAAACTAGTGAAGTATGAGAGTCTTGATAGAGCTAACAGAAGGGGATGTGTGATTCTTGTCAAGCAAGTGAGAATGTAAGCAAATATTCAAGAACCAGACCTCATTTTCCTCAGAATGTTGTGGAATTTTTCTCTTTCAGTTCTGTGGTTGCTGCATCTTAGGATTTGGGATCTATTTCCGAATCCACAACAGCTTTGGGGTGCTCTTCCATAACCTCCCCTTCCTCACACTGGGCAATGCTTTCATCATTGTGGGATCTGTTGTCATGGTGGTCGCTTTCCTGGGCTGCATGGGCTCCATCAAGGAGAACAAGTGCCTGCTTATGTCGGTGAGTTCCTTGCAGTAGATGTGGGGCTCTAAATGGGGAGAAGTGAGTTTGCTTACTCATCTACAGGTCCAAGGAAATCATAAAAACATAAGATCAGTATCTCAGGTCAGCAAAGTCCTTTCAGATTAACAGCATTTTATTTCTGACTGAAGGCAAAAGGATATACTACTCTGTTGTGTGTGATTAGCGCTGAGGGAGTACGTATCTGAAGTCGGGGGTAAAAATCACGCAGGTCTGTGACTAGAACACCTCTGCCTCCATCTGTACAAGGCTTTAATCAGCCTCCACCAGCACTTGCCTCATCCATGTTCACCCTAGTTTCTTAGAAAGAACCAACTAGGCCCCAAACTAGAAAGAGACATGGCTTAATTCTCTGGCCCTTTGCTTGCTTGTTTCGATAGGCTCCTACCAAAATTGAGCTTTACTGCTATAGTGTGTAATGTGTCAGGCTGTTAACTGAAAGTTCAGTAGTTCAAATCCACGAGCCAGTCAGAAAGAGAAAGATGAACAGTCTCTTCCCATAGATTTACAGCCTCAGAAACCTGTGAGTTAGGACCAAATCCATGGCAGTGGCTTTTATTGTTTCTTTAAAAAAAAAATAACAAAATTGTTCATTTATTGTCCTTTATTTAGCAGACAGTATTTAACATGCATTGTATGAATGGTACTCTGATAGGCGAAATGGATAGGAAAGAACAATATTAGAAGACAGCTCATTGGCCCCCTTAGACGCTGGAAACTAGATAGTTGTAGAAAAAGGAATATGGATTCTTCACAAAGCAAGAGGAGGCCTACTAAGGGCTGAGCAGGCAGGAGCAGAAGCTTCCTGTGCGTGTGTGAAGGCCTGCTTGGCTGCTCTCAGGGTGGAATGGGAGTGGGAGAATAATCTGGATCCATGCAGTGAGCCTGTTCCTGCTTTACCACAGTTCTTTGTTCTACTGCTGATTATCCTCCTTGCTGAGGTGACCTTGGCCATCCTGCTCTTCGTATATGAACAGAAGGTATGTTATAAAGAATACGACCCATTGAATCTTTGCTAACCATCAAGAATGGGGGGTGGTGGTAAGAAATTGGTACCAAAAAAACAAGCACCCATAATAGATGGGAAAACAAAGAGGCCATGGGCAGGAAAGAGATTAGTTTTATTTGGGGGAGGGGAAAATATTCGTGAAGGAGATCATATTTAAGTAGTTCCTTGAAGGATACATGAGAAAAGGAGTAAAAACTAGCTTCTCTTTCTTTAACTATTTAATTTTCTGTCTGCTTTGGCAGTAGAGGTCTGTTTCAGTGCTTAAAGAGAGCTCATGCTTTGATGCCCCCCCCTTCTCTTGTGTAAATCAGAGTTCTGTGGAGACAACAGTCTGCGGTGTACATTGTTCTTCAGTGCTGTCCCTCCCTTAGCTCATCTCACCTCCCTCACCCCCTTAACTTGGAAGAGAAAATTTTCAAAAGAGGAGTAAATTGGACAAGTAGAATATGCTAAACTTAACCTTGAGTTATATTTAAAATTCTTCTCCTTTTCCCAACATCTCCACTACTGAAATGCCTCTGTTCAGCTGAGTCTGTATGTGTCTGAAGGATTGACTGACAGCATCCAGCATTACCACACTGACAACAGCACCAAGGCGGCATGGGACTCTATCCAGTCATTTGTGAGTATGGGTGGAATCCTCCCGAGCCCTTCCTTTCCTGGAAGTTTCAAAACTTAAAGTCCATAGCCCTGATGTGCAAAATAACACGACACCACAAACAGCGCAGCACTGGAATAAATTTGACTGATACCTAGTTGTCCATTGGTTCTCTTTCATAATATTTGTTATGTTTTGTTTTGTTTTTTTCTCTCTGGGGGAATAGTCCATAGAGAATTGCAGTGCTAGAGTTTGCAGCTCCAGTGCTCCAAATGCATCAGTGACTCCAGGGAGAAATACTAATAGTCTTCTGTAATGGTTTACACCTTAGAAACCCAATGTGGAAGGTTGCTATTAGTCAGAACCAATTCAGTTGCAGTGAATGTGAAGATGTAGAGAAAAAAGACCTAAATATGTGTTCCTGGATTAATGTATGTATTTTCTAAAAGTTGACTATTAACAGAAATTATATCATATAAGAAATTGCTATTAAATTCCTAAGAAGCCTCACAGGCTTATATCTTTCCTATGTACCTCATGTCCAATTCCCCATCTGAGATCAAGCATATGGAACTTTATATTCCTCCCTTGGCAGTGTTTGGTGATGGGAGAAAAAGATATGGGCAGGAAAATCAGCCTGTCATTGGCATAGACTGTCTCAAGAAAACACTAACTTGTGACAACATGGAGTCACATCTCTGCCCTTATTGTACCGCTTAGTACAGAATGGGGAGGGGGGGGGGAAATGCAGAAATTAGAGCTCAGACACCAAGATTGGTGAATATCAGGTAATTTAATCTTTCTATAGCTCCAATTCTTTTCTTTTTTCAAATTCTGTATTGTTGTTATTACGATCTGTCAATACCACTACAACTCACAGCAACTCTATGAACCACAGATCTGAAGCTTGTCATATTCTGCACCATTCTCAAAATCTCTGATACGCTTGATACTTTTATAGCATTTCCAAGCATATGCAAAAAGGACAGCCAGCATGCTCCTTTAGAAACAAGGATAATGAGACTTTGTCTCACATACTTTGGGCATGTTACCAGGAGGGACCAGCCCTTAGGAAAAGATATCAGACTTGGAAAAGTAGAGGATCAATGAAGAAGGAAAAGGCCCTCAACAGTATGGAGTGACGCAGTGACTGGAACAATAGGCTTAAACAAAATCAAGGTTGTGGGGACCGTACAGGATCTGGCAGGGTTCTGTTCTGCTGTATATAAGGTTGATATGAGTTAGAGCTGACTTTTCAAGGCTTACCAATAACAACATGCAAGAATAAAAAGAATAGTAACAAAATGGATCTCTGTGTACATATACCTACTTTTAGCATCTGTGGTGTCACAGTGGTTAAGTACTTCAATGCTATTGAAAATGAACTCCTACATCCACTCCCAGGGAGAAAGATGAGGTTGCTTGTTTCCATGAAGATCATAGCCTTGGCAACTCTACTTCATAGTTCTTAATTCTGTAGGGTCTTTATGAATTGGAATTAGTAGCACCTAAAAGTTTACATTTAAAACAAATCTGCAAGAACCAAAATGTGACCTTGAGCCTATTGCACATGAATTTTAAAACCATCTCACAAATATACCTGATACATTGAACACTAATGACTGAAGAACAGATAAGCTGTGGGATGACATTAGGATGGCATTGTCCATAAACAAGCAAGAAAGAAAATACCAAAATGGATGTCAGAAGAGATTGGAACTTTCACTGAAGCATAGGCCAAAACAAAAGGAGGAAAATGCTGAAGAGAATTGAACAGAAGATTTCAAAGGGCTGTCTGAGAAAATAATGACAAGTATTTTATTAAATGTGCAAAGTGATGGAGTTAGAAAACCAAAAGTAAAGAACACATTCAGCATTTTTCAAGCTGAAAAAAAAAAAGATGAAGAAGAAATCCAAACCTTGAGTTCTAATGCTGAAAGATTCTGTGGGAAAGATCTTGAATAATGCAGGAAACATCAAAAGAAGGAACACACACAGTCACTGTGCCAACAGAATTGGTGAATACTGAATCATTTTAAGAAGAAACATAAAATCAAGAACCCGTGGTAATGAAAAAGAAATTCAGGTGGCATTAAAGACATTGGTAAACAATAAGACCCCAGGAATTAATTGAATATGAGTTCAGGTATTTCACCAAATAGATAGAGCCCTGGACATACTCACTAATCTATGGCAAGAAATTTGGAACACAGCTACCTGGCCAACTGAATGGAAGAGATTCCTATTTGTACTCTAAAAAAAACCAGGTGGTCCAACAGATTGGAAATTATTGAACAATGTTGTTAGTATCACATGCAAGTAAAATCTTGCTGAAGAGTTTTCAAAATCTACTATAACCTGCTAGAAAAAAATTAAAGCTGGTTTCAGAAGAGGCCATGGCATCAGAATTAGCACTGCCAATGTCAGATGGATCTTGGCTGAAAGCAGATAATATGAAAGATGTTTGCTTGTGTTTTAATGACTATGTAAACTCATTTGACTGTGTAGATCGTAACCGATTTGGATAACATTGAGAAGATTGAGACTCCCAGAACATTTAACTGTGTTCAAGCAAAACCTGTAGTTAGAGGAAGCACTTGTCACATAGAACAAAGAACACTCCATGATTTAAAGTAAGGAAAAGTATGCATCAAGGTTGGGTTCTTTATACCTTTTCAGTCTGTGGATCACAACAGACTATGGCTAACATTGAGAAGAATGGGAATCCCTGAACATTCAATTGTGCTAATTTGTGAAACCTACGACTTGATTAAGATGCTGTTGTCCAAACAGAGCAAAGAGCCACTGAATGGTTTTAAATTCAGAAAGATGTTTGTCAGAGCTGTATTCTTTCTCTATACCTATCCACTCTACTAAGCAAATTATCTCATCATTCGAAAAGATGGACTATATGAGGAAGAATGTAATATCATGACTGGAAGAAGACTCATCAACAATCTGCATTAATGCTTCCTAAAAGTGAGGAGGACTTGAAACACTTGCTGCAGAATATAAAAAACTAGAATCTCCAATATGGATTACATCTCAACATCAAGAAAATAAAAATCTTTATACCACTAGACCAATTGGCAACATCCAATTGGCGATAATGATAAATGGAGAAAAGGTTGAAGTTGTCAATGATTTCATATTACTTCGATATACAATCACTACCCTTAGCATAACAGTCAAGAAATCAAAAGACATGTTCCAATGGGGAAAATATGCAAGCATCTCTCCAAAGTCCTAAGGAGCAAGGAGGTCAGTTTAAAGTCACAATCTTTTCAATTCCTTGCAATGCATCTGAAAGAAGGACAGTGAATAAGGATGACAGAAGAAGAATCGAGGCCTCTGAGTTGTGGTGTTGGAGAAAAGTACTGAATATTCTATAGAATGCCAAAAGAACAAACAAATATGTCTTGGAAAAAGTGTTGCCAGAGTGCCCCTTAGAGGCAAAGATTTGGACATGTTGTCAGGAGAGGCTGGTCGTTGTAAAAAGACATCATGCTTGAAAAGGTCGAGGGTCAGAGGAAGACCTTCAACAAGATGGATCAACACAGTGACTATGAATAGTTGAGTCAAGCATGTGAGAGATGATGAAGATAGTACAGGATTCAGCAAGGTTCTTACCTGTTGTACGTAAGGCCAATATGAGTACTAGTCAACTCAAGGGCACAAAACAGTAATAAAAATATAAATCCCTTAATGCCAACTAGTAAATAGTCTATAATAAAATTTCACCCATTTTCTGAGAAGTATTTTTAGGTAGTTTGCTCAAATCAAGAGCCAGACAAGGTTCACATGTTATATTTAAGTGACACAGCTTTTAAATTATTTTTAGTCTTTAATTGTTCTCTGCTCATGCTAATTATTTTTGAAAAGAAATTAGGTGCTTTTTCTTACTGAAGCGCCCACTTCTTGAATCTGGTTAATTGCATCCTCAAAGTATTTTGGTGCCATGGAGATTTATTTCCCATGAATTGAGAGGATTTATGCACGCTCTACTCTGCCCCCCTCCCCAACAAGAACACCATAGGTGGTATTTTGTAGTGCATTATATGAACAGGCATATAATATTTCTGCTTGTCCTATTTTTAGTGATCTTAAGAGTCATCATTGAAGGGAGCTCTGGTGGCCTAGTGGCAAGAAGCTGCACTGCAATCCCAGAGGCATGTGGTTTGAATCCACCAGATGCTCTGCTGGAGAAGGAGGGGCAATCTCCTCCTGTACCAGTCAGATCTGATTTGATGGTACATGCACAAAAATTAATAAAAATTTAAAAAAAAATTAAAGAGTCATCATTGGGTTCAGGTATAGTCAGTCTGATCTTTCAATTATAAAATCCTTTAAGTGTTAATTTCCTGAAAAATATGAATAAGTATACCATCTCTACTTTATGAGGATTTTGCATTAATGAAATTATATAAACAAATATGAAAGTGTTTTGCTCCAAGAAGCCTTCACTGGTCAGGTTTATTCTGGAGTTTTAAGATAAACCTTAAGGGATCAGCTTCTTAAGCCCACCTCACTCTTATCACAAGGCCCAATAGTTATTGGTTTGTATTGGGTGTTTTTTCTGTTAACTTTCTAATCAAAATGTTGTTTTTGGTTGGATTTTAGCTGCATTGTTGTGGTGTAAATGGTACAAGTGATTGGACTTCAGGCCCACCGTCATCTTGCCCCTCAGATCCACAAGCTACGGTAATTTTTTTAAATCTTTCTTTTAATTGGTCCTTTAGCTTTTAATTACCTTGTAAACTTTAATCACATAAGTTCTAGACCCCCTAGACATAAACAAGAAGCTTTGAACAAAAGAAAGGTAGCTAGACTTATTAGAGAGAAGCAGGCATGCACTCATGTAGATTAAAGCCATGGAATAGAATCTGGTTGCACTGAACTATTGAATTGCGAATAGAAAGTTGTGTGATGGTGGCAGAGCATATTGTCTAGAGTTTTCTTGAGCAGGAGGTAGTAGGTATTCTTATGCATGAAAATGAAATTTGTAGGGCTGAAGTAGAACAGCACCATCTAGGCCTTTTGTGTAGGAGATATCACGGTGGATAAGGTGGAGGGTCAGAGAAAGAGAGGAAGACCCGTAACAAAAGGGATCGGCACGGTTATGTAACAATGGGCTTGAGCAAATCAGAGGTGGTGAGGATAGTGCAGGATAATGCAAGGTTCAACTCTGTTATTCATAGGGTTGCTGTGAGTTGTAGGCAGCTTGATGATAGCTAACAATGTTTAAAGGCTCTTTGTGAAATGTATCATAACCTCAAAGGAAAGAAAAGAGAGAAAGTTGGTGTAACTATTCAGTTTGCCCACTTACTTTGGACTTCCAGAGTAGGCTCAGAGAAGAAACCAATGTAATCTTCCAACTAGACCAAGTCACTAAAATCTTGTCCTCACCTTAGTTTTCCCTCTTCTGGGGTTCCTTGGAAGTCTCCAAAATTTTTTACATCTGTTGAAGACCAAACACCCACAAAACAATTCTGGATTTCGGTAGGGCTATATTGGGTTTACTTGCTATTGAAGTAGAAGCTGAAATGCTAGTCAATACTAAGATTGCATAGCCCATAATTATCATTTGTTGATCCAAGGTTAGTAATGAATACTGAAGAGTAGCAGATCATTTGCAGCTGACCTCTTTCTTTCTGGGGTGCTAATTTAACTCCGTGGATAACAATTTAAGACCTTAATTGTTCTACCATAGTATTGTCTACATTATTCTGCAGGTTCTTTATCCATACAAAGAAGATAAAAATACAATAACTAAAAGTTTCTTGGCATTGTTGTTGTTATGTGCTATTAAGTTGACTAAAACACATAGGTACCCTAGAGCAGTGGTTCTGAACCTTGCCCTATCCTGAGCCAACCTCATCATCTCTGACACACCTGACTGCATTACCACAGTCACTGGGTCAAAACATCTCTTCCCAAGTTTTCCTTTTCAGTGCTGACCCTCTAGTCTTCCAGGCATGATGTTTTAGCATTACATAAAGCTAAAGAAACAAATCTTCTGATAAGTCTGAATAATATAATAATTTTCCCCCCTCAGGGTTGCTATGCAAAAGCAAAACAGTGGTTTCACTCCAATTTCCTGTATATTGGAATCATCACCATCAGTGTATGCGTGATCCAGGTAAGAGTTTGCCCATAGGAGTAGTGTGAGGATTAATTAATCAATACAGTGTTTTAAAACAGTATCAAGGATGTAGTATGTGCTGAATAAATATTAGCTGTTTTTATTAGCACAAGTTCCCTCAATCTAATAGCAAATTATACTATTGTCACTTCTTTATGGTATATAGAAGTTATGTCACAAGATGATATATCATCTGGTCAGCATCTCCCTCAGAGTTTTTAGTGATTCACAGGCAAACCAAAAGCTCCCAAGTGGAACCCCACTTTGGTTCTTCACTTGGCTGCTCTAGAAAATAGCCCATGATGAAGTCTTTTTTAATTATGTGGTATTTTGATCATTTCTCCGTCCACTTAGAACATGGATTAGCTAGGAAGAAAGCTCAGAGAAACTACATCCTGTGCTTGGAGACCAAGAAGGCATAGGAGACAGGTAGTGGTAACTGACTACACAGTATGTTCAGTAGGCAGAATTTTACTATACCAGCATCAGGACTTCTCCGACTTGATTAAAAATATGACATCTCAGTGCTTTGTATTCTGCTGGCTCTCCATCATTACTCTCAGTTCATAGTCAAACACAGGAGAGGGCTCTTGAGAGGGAACTGGAAGTAATGGAGAACTTTCAGTAAGAGAGACTGTTTCAACTTCTCCAGAGCTAATCCCAGGGGTTGTATGAGAGACACATCCTTTTATAAAAACCTCACATTTTGCCAATTCTTTTCTCAGGTGTTGGGGATGTCTTTTGCGCTAACTCTGAACTGCCAGATTGATAAAACCAGCCAAGTCCTTGGGCTGTAACCTGCCACCACTCTGGATTGGAGAGTTTTACATCTTGGAAATCCAAAATAATAGGTAGCCTGAAGTCCTAAATGATTACCTCTTGGACTGGCGCTTCTGTCCTCTCCTCTCTTCCTTCATCCGGTCCCTGCCTCATACAAGAGGTGAAAGTGTTGGTCAAGCATTTTCCATTTTAAAAAGCAAACTAATCATATATCAATGTGTGGCAGGAGCCCCCATACCACTCAAGGGGGTGCCACTAATATAAGAGGATTCTCAGGCCTGAGATTCTAAGAGATACAGTGAGACTAACAAGGTAAATAAAGATAAAAGGGTAGGTCTAAGATTTGAATTTTAGTATATTCATATTATCTGTCTCAAGCCTCTAAAGCTTAGTCCTCTCTACTAAAGAAATCAAATGTACTCAAAGTTTTAAGCAAGAGACAAGCTAAAGGACATTCTGAGCCAGACTACCTTACTAGATCATTGTCACAATCCTTTGTTTTCTTTTGATTGGAAGCCTTGACTAGAAGAATGATAGTGTTCTTTCCCCAAAAGGTGAAGTTTCTTTTCACTTTCCTTAGTAAGGGGCTTGCTTATTTATTCTTTACAGAAATTTGTGGTTTATAATCTGATTTCAGTCGATCTTTTAGCTTTTGATTTACATAGTTAAGGAGGAACTCAACAATACTTGCATCTCTGACAAATTAGCTGATAATTCTGTTCAAAAGAATGCCAATGTTATTTCTTTATCGAATGAAGTTTTGTAAATGTATTATTTTAACTCTTTGGTAATAAAATACCTTATTGTCTCAACGGCAGTATTCTCATTTCTTATACTTACCTTTCACAGCTCAGTATGATAGCCCAGCCTTAAGAGTAAACTCAGGTGAGCCAGCAAACCAGGTGTTATTAGTTATCTATTGCAGCATAAACAAATTTACTCCAAAATGCAGTGACAGTTCACTGAAAACAGCAGACATTTATTATTTATATTTTTTGTGGACCAGGAATCTAAGAGCCATCCAGCTAATTTATTCTAGTTCACAGTTTCCTGGAAGACTATAATCATAGTGTTAGCCTGAGCTACAGTCTTAGCAAGGCTTAGTTGAAAAAAAAGATCTACTTTCCAGCTCTTACGTGTGTCTGTTGGCTAGTCTCTCAGGTGTTTGCTACAAGGGCCTTTCCTCGGGGCTTCTTTATGATGTAGCAACTGGTTTCCCTAAAGGAAGATTTACAAGAGAGAATGAGAGAAAGCACGCAAAGCAGAAGGCATATTCCGTTCCATAATCTAATTCAGAATTGATAAGCCGTCTTAGAGGTTTCCAGCCACACTGCTGAGTAAAGATAGACCAGGATATATGGAGACTTTATTTTGTAAAGGAAAAAAACCCCTAAACATGTCTAATGAAGAACAGAACATTCAAATAAGGAACCCTGGTGGCACAGTGTTTAAAGGACACCGCCATTTGAACCTTCAGGTCAATCCATGGGAAAAAGATGAGGCAGTTTGCTTCTACACAGATCCTGTGGAGCAGTTCTATCCTGTCCCGTAAGGTCACTATGAGTTGGAGTTGATGTGACAGAGCAACATCCAAATGTAGAGAAATCAGACAAATGAGTAGAAGAATTTGTTTCTACTCCAAGTTTTTGAGCATGATCTCCCACCTTAAATTAAGGAATACAGGTCACTTTGAATGGTGGTTGATAGAAAAACGTACAGCTTTTCCACTTTTCAAAAAGAAAACAAAGGAATGGAGGAGATATTCTCGAGTTAAAACAGAAAAAAGTAACGAGAATTTCGTGTATACAAAATTAAATTCATCGCCAAGAGAACAAACAGGTCTGTCTTGGAGAGGGTGAAATCAAGTTTCTCCTCGGTAGTATTTTGAAGCTCCATCTCACATACTTTGGACACATGGCCAGAAAGGACCAGTCCTTGGAGAAGGATATCATGCCTGGAAGGGTGGAGGGACAGCATAGGAGAGGAAGACCCTGGATGAGATGGATTGGCATAGTAATGGGCAGTGCGAGTAGTAGTGTTGGAGACAGTGAGACTGGGTCAGGACACGGCAGGCCTCAGAGCTACTGTACATAGGATCGCTATGAGTCACAGACAACTTGACCACACATAACAACAATATCTTCTAACTTGACTCTTCTTTTTTGTTCCCTTTAAGTCTCTCAATAAGTGATACACCCACTCAGTTGCTGTAGTCAGTAACCTGGGTTTTCTTCTTAGTATCAGCTTACTTTTCACATCCAGCATCAGATCTGTTGATAAACACCTAACAGATATTTCAGATCCATTCATTTTCATCGTATCTATTGCATTTAATAGCCTGAACCATCCACTGTTTGTCTGGTGCCCACCATTGTCCCCATTTAAATTATTTTCTAGGGTGTTCAAGTTGTTTTACTTACCCAAAGGCTAAGCATCTCTGGCAGTAGGAATCCAGAGTGGCTCCAAGAAAGATGGGAGTCTCCCCTTTAGGACCTAAAGCCTTTGGTAGGTCCTTGATTCTGAGCACTGTGGTTGAAACCAGTTCTGCTGCAGTGAGGTGTTTTGTTTGTTTGTTTGTGTGTGTGTGTGTGTGTGAGTGTACCGTCAAATCAGATCTGACTGGTACAGGAGGAGATTGTCCCTCCTTCCCTGGTTCCCCGGCAGAGCATCTGGTGGATTCGAACCGTGCGCCTCTGGGAAGCAGTGAGGTTTTAATAACAAACAAGCCAGCAGACAACTCTTTCCTACACAGTAGTTTATCTTTCCAAAGCATATATTTAATCAGCACACCTTCCTGCAGAAATCCTACAGTGTACCTCTATTCATATTAGGTTAAAGTCAAATTCCTTATTATATCTAACAGGTCCATCCTATATTTCACTCTTTGCTGTCCAGCACATTCATTTGCCTTTATCACCCTTGCTTTCTTTGTTTAGCTATATGGACATTAGTTTTTCTAGGCTTCACTTATATTTCATTTTTCTTCCTCTGACATAGATCCCCTTTGTCTAGATATTTCCTACTCCCACCTTCCTCAAAGGAAAATTTATTTCACTAATCTGAGAAATTAGCATGCCAATCACTTTGTACACATCTTTAAATTAAAATATTGACACAGTGTCCAATGTATGTGGGGGCTTTTTCCTTATTTTTTTAATTACAGGGAATCACCGAAAAGAATTGATTGACACTGAAAATTTTCAGAAAATACCACACGAAAAAATTTGGAAGACAGCTACCTGGCCAATTAACTGGAAGAGATCTATAAGGGTTCTCATTCCCAAAACCAAATAAAACAAATAAACCAAAAACAAATAATACAACAGAATATTATCAAACAGTATCACATGCAAGTAAAATCTTGCTAATGGTTTGTTGTTTTTTTATTTCCATCCATTCATTGCTGCACTTTTCTCCCTGCCCACCCCTCCCTCCAGTACACTCTTCTCTTCAAAAAGTAAAAGAAAAATTCTTTCATTGTTTTATAATCCCTCCCCCCAGGTCCACTCCACTATGCAACCTTCATTCTGGATTCCTGTCATGACAATAATACCTAATCACATATCCCTTTTAAACAGTTTTCTCCCTCATCTGTTTCAATGCACTATACATTATTTATCCCATCTTTCTCAGTCTCTCCCCAGCCCTGATGTCAGTCCTGTTTTACAACAGTGGCACCATGCTGTATTTATCCTTTTGTGACTGAGACATTTCACTCAGCAAAATGTTTTCCAGGGTTACCCATTTTGAATATTTCATGAGTTCCTTGTTTTCCAATGCAGCATAGTATATTCCATTGTATGAATATACCACAGCTTCTCTATCCATTTGTTTGTTGATGGGCACTTAGGTTGTTTCCAACTCCTTGCTATTGTGAACAAAGCCATGATAAACATGGGTGTGCATATATCTTCTTGGGTGTCAGTTATGGTCTCTTTGGAGTATATTCCCAGTAGTAGAATTGCTGGGTCAAATGGTATTTCTATTTGCAGCTATTTCTATTCTGCCTTCCATAGTGGTTGCACCATTTTACACTTCCACTAACAGTGAAAAAGTGTTCCAGTTTCTTCACAACCTCGCCAGCATTTGTTGCTTGTTATTCTGTTATATTTTGCTATTCTTACTGTGGTGAGATGATATCTCATAGTTGTTTTGATTTGCATCTCTTTTAGAGCTAGGGATTTTGAACATTTCTTCATGTGCTTGTTGGCCATCTGAATGTCTTCTTTGGTGAAGTATCTGTTCATATCCTGTGCCCATTTTTTAATTGGGTTATTTACCTTTATCTTGTTGTGGTGCTCGAGTATTTTATAAATTCTAGATATAAGTCTCTCGTCTGATATGTCATTACCAAATACTTTTTCCCAGTCTGTGGCTTCCCTTTTTACCCTGTTGGAGAAGGTTTTGGATGTGCATAGGGATTTGGTTCTTAGAAGGTCCCATTCATCTATTTTATCCTCTCCTGGTTATAGAACTAACAGTTATTTATTTTTTAATGGAAGGAACAGTATATCAGCTGGATTCAGAAGGGATCATGGCACTAGGAAAATCACTGACATCAGATAGATCTTTGCTGAAAGCAGAGAATATCAGAAAGATACTTAACAATATTTCATTGACAATGCAAAGGCATTCAACTGTGTGGATCATAACAAATTATAGCTAACATTGGAAAGAATTGGAATCCCAGAACACTTAATTGTGCTCATTTGAAACTTAATACATAGACAAGAAGCAGTTTTCTGAACAGAAGAAAGGAACATTGGAAGGTTTAAAATCAAAAGGTGTGCATCAGGATTCTGTCTTTTGTCTATACCTATTCAGGCTTTATGCTGAGCAAATTATTTGAGAAGCTGGACGTTAAGAAAATGTGGCATCAAGATTGGAGGAAGAGTCATCAACAAACTGCTTTGTGCAGATGACACGATCTTGCTTCCTGAAAATAAAAGAGACTTGAAACACTTGCTGAAGATTAAAGAAAACAACATTCAGTATGAATTACATCTCAACAATAAGA